GTAACTATTAAGTCCATTTTTATGTTACTATTTCCAGGAAAAATTTAAAATAGTCTTCATATACAATAAAAGCAAGTTAGATAAATTATATTGTACCTATACACATAATTAATATATAGGCATATAAATGAAGTTAAAAAATATTTGGTAGCATTATTTTGGAAAAATTTAAGATAGGTTATATGAAAGTAGGCTACCAAAGACTATGTGTGATGTATTTCCAAATTAGCTTGAAGCAAAAGGTACAGTTGTGCATGAGAATAAGGAATAAAAAAAAGAAAAAGCATATATATATGGTAGCACAAAAATGTCCTTAGTATCCAGCCTCCAGGACTTTGCCTCTTAGTGTGTAGTTTGTGAATTTCCTCTATCAGCTTCACAGAGGACAGTAGGATAACGCTGTCCTCAAGTCTACTGAAACCAAAGTCCAGGGATGTGGCCTAGAAATCTGGATGTTTAAATAGCACTTTGATTAATTTGATAACATGCTACTTTGCAATTTTTCTGAGAGTGAGACTCCAAGAATAGTCAAGGGTTTGGGAAGAGTAAATTTAAGCCAATTCAGTAAATTAGGTGATAAACAAAGAAGCTTGCTGTTTTTCTCTCTTGGTTTATGTTTTAAAATAATGAGTTTCTCCTTTTATTTGCTCAAGCCCTGAACAATTTAGTTCAGAATTTTTTTTCTTACTTTGATTCTCCTGGCTTTGCCAATTCATGAAAATCCACTTGGCACCACATTTCCTTAGAAGCTGTTGCTTTTTCTTGATTTTATTTCTGTTCTTAGAATCTAATATTCTAGTGTCTAACCAAATTGTTGTTTCCTGTAGATCTCTTTCCATAATTCCTTTACCCAAACTATCTGTATCTTCATGTAAAAAGCACCACAGACCTCCCATCACTCACTCTCCCTTAACCCCAAAATATCTATGTGTTATCCTTTGCAGATATCACTTCCTGCAAGGCCTTCCATATTAGTCTCCACAACATCACTAAAGAATTTTATTACCTATGATGCTGGACCTACTTCTAATATCTCTGGAGATATCCACCTTCAAACACCTGCCACATCCAGCTGTGAGGGTCTAGTTCCTGGGCTCCAGAGACATGTTCAGTCTGATTATAAAAACATTTCCCTTTTGTGCCAGAATTGTTGGAAAATTATTTCTATTCAACAGTCTGTGTAGGATTCCAGAAGACTTAATATATATATACATATATATACACACACATACATATATACACATATATGTATATGTACTTTGTCCCCATCATATTTGGTTATTCCAATTCTGGGAAAATAAATTAAGAAAATAATTAAAAGTTGCACTCAAATATCAATATACAAAATGCCTACTGTAATAACACTTACATTAAAAAAGTCAGAAACCTCACTATCTGTATGATTTGGAGCAAGTTACTTAAACCCTTTGTAGCTATATTTTCTCAACTGTACAAAAGGGATAATAATAGTGCTTATATTAAAGGCAGTCATGAGTTTTAAATGAATTCATGTATTCAAAGTGGATAGAATAGTGCTTTCAAATAATATTTATTACCTAACATTATTATTATCATCATATAAATAACAAGAGATACAACGAACCATAATATGCCCATATGATAATATATCATACAGTAATCAAAATATTTGAATAGGAAATTAATATTATAAGATAAAAAGCAAGAAGAATGATAATAAGCCATTTGACTACCACTATATTTGTCTGTGTAACTATAACCACATACACATATTTTTAAAAATTGACTGGAATACACAAAATAATCTTTTCATTCTCTGTGATATGTAAAATGTAGAAATATACTTTTCTGGTCTGGATGCAGTGGCTCACATCTGTAATCCCAGCGCTTTGGGAGGCTGAGGCGGGTGGAGCACCTGAGGTCAGGAATTCGACACCAGCCTGTCCAACATAGTGAAATCCTGTGTCTACTAAAAATACAAAAACTAGCCAGATGTGATGGTGGGTGCCTGTAATCTCAGCTACTCAGGAGGCTGAGGAAGGAGAATTGCTTGAACCCAGGAGGCAGAGGTTGCAGTGAGCCGAGATTGTGCCACTGCACTCCAGCCTGGGGGACAGAGTGAGACTCCATCTCAGGAAAAAAAAAAAATATATATATATACACACACACACACACACACACATATGAATACACTTTTCTTTACATCCATATTTAGTTCAGAGAACACAGTGCTACTGTAAAAACTGAATAAAATTAATATAAGTTTAGAGCACTTTTTTGGCATCAGTGTGCCTAAGGGAAACTAATGTGTAATACAGGATTAATGTTTTTCACACCATCTCAAATCTTACTGAATGCTGCTATCTAGAAAACAGTGGTAACTGAGTTACAATGGGGCCGTAAAAGCAAAAAACCACTGTGACTGGCTAACTGAAAGTGATCACAGAGCCAAGACCATAATGATTGTCCTGCCCAGACTTCAGCATATATGGTTGCAAAATCTGAGCAGTATTAGTGCCGTGTCGAGTGTCTTGTGGTATTTCATCAGTGTCGCTTACAAGGCATACTCAACATTTAACAGCAGGATCATTAACCATCCAGGTTGTGAGGTAATGGAATAGTGCTTGCCTACTAACCCTAAAACAAGCTCACTGTGTGTGACCTACATCCTTCCGCTGGATGTGTGTGAGAAAAGGATGACCTCACAGAAGCAAAGCAGCTGCTGTAAGTTAAGCCACAAGGAAGAAACTCCCAAGACAGGAAGAAGAAATGCTTTAGAGGTGCACTGAAATAATGAACTAATGTGGCATAGCTGTGAAATCATGTGAGGAAAAGAACTACAGCGGCAGTAACAGAAGATGGTTCTTTGAAGTAAAGACATTGAGCAGAAGAAAAATTGCCAACTTGTGTAATCAGTTGATGTTGCTAGTTAGCCAGTTTAAACATGCATTAAAGATAAAGATCTGCTTGAAACCAATTATTTTATTGTTTGGCTTCCTGTTTAAAGATGAAAATGAAATACGTGTATATATGTGACATATTTTTACCTAGCAGTGAGTAGATACAGAAAGAGTGTAAAATGCTCTGCTGAATTCACTAACATCACAAAACATTCCTTAATAATTGCCAGGTTTGATAGGCTGACTGTATGTTAACACAGGAAACAATGCAGTAGACTTGTGTTGGAGAGAAGAATTTTGACATTTGGATTTTTAAAAATCATGTATATTGAACCTATGAACTCTCATGTAGAACATCAGATTTACTATATTTTAAACAGAAATGCCATCACTATATAGATCATTGCAAATTTGTCAGTATACTTCCATTTTAAAAGCCTTTTCCTGCTTTAATTGATTTATTAATTAATTTATTTTCTTGAGACAGGATCTCACTCTGTTACCGAGGATGAAGTGCAGTGGCACAATCATGGCTTGTAGCCTCGACCTCCTAGGCTCAGGTGATCCTCTTACCTCACCCGCCTCCCAAGTAACTGGGAATGCAGGCGTGCACCACCATGACTGACCCATTTTCTTGTAGAAATGGAGTTTTGCTATGTTGCCCAGATTTGTCTGGAACTGCCAGACTGAAGCAATCCATCCACTTAGGCCTCCCAAAATGCTGGGATTACATTCGTGAACCACTGTGCTCCACCTCCTTTTCCTCCTTTTTAGATAGATTATGTATTCTGTACCTTTTGTGTAACTAAGTTGTTATTACATAAACTATATTCTAAATACATTATAAATTATGATCATGATAAATTGTGATCGTGATATTTATTATTGAGTCAATACTGCCTAAGTAACAATTTTCACAGAAAAGATAAGTTTAAAAGACCAAAATAGCTATTCTCTTGGAAGCATTTGATATGAAATAATAGACTAATACAGATTAAAATTCTGTTTCCCAGCGGGTACTAGTGGTAAGAAATATAGTAAGCGTCTGACTTGTATAAACCTTGGCTTTCTCATCTGATGAGGTGGCTAATAATAATAACTCTCATATTTGTTGGAATAATATAAAAGATTTTATGTAAATTGTCAATTATAATGAATGGCATAAATTAGAATTACAACAAATGCCAATTATATTTGTTTGTTTGAAAATTTAACACTCTGTCAAAAGACAAAAAAAGTGCTCACCTGCAAATATGCTTTCTGTTTACTCCATAGTGAGCCCAAAAGTAAGAGATTTAAAAGTGAAAGCTATCACTTACAGAAGATTCAGAATATACTGCATTGAGAAGATAGGGATTAAAGAGTTTATTAAAGGTGTTTTTTTTTTAAATTATTTTCCTGAACATCATTTCAAGAAAGATGAGCGCCAAAGACATAAATATATTCCCCAGAGCATGTGCACTGCCAGTTGACAAATGTGTCTCTTTTATAGAGTTTGGTGAAGGTTATTCATTTTCTTTTTCCTGTCTTGACCAGAAAATTGTGGCTTCTCATCATATATGACTGCCTGCAGGGTCTTCTGAATAGGAAATTACCAATGCTGAAATTTGTATGACTTAAATAAGTGTTGGAGTGTGGGGGTTGAAAGGAGATACATATCAGAGACATTCATTCAGTTAGTAGGACTAAGTTTTTGATTTGCATAGCTTATATATGGAGAATTCTGTTTCTTATTTTCTCTTTTACTATCTTCTCTAGCTGCATAATTAGCACAGATTGAAGCTATAATGGATTTCGATAATAGCACTTCTTTAGAATGATATATACATCTTTAAATATTAAGACAAGCATAGGAAATATGTATATTCTAAAAAATAATTTTTTTAAAGTTTAGATAGTGTTAAAAGAAACATGCATTTTCTGTTACATTTCAGATTATTTTAAAGAAGCTTCTATGTTTTTTTTCTTCATTCTTAGAAGAGTACCTGCAATTGTAAAGCATGAATCCTGTAATACTACTGTAAATGAATCACTATTGCATTCATACCATTAGCCTCTGAACAGATGTCAGAAAGTAAAGACTGGCTGCCTCTAGATCAAGTTGCTGCTGCCAACTCTCGCGAGCTTTGTCAGTAACAGTTGATTGCTACATTCAGTAACACTGAATGTCAGTGCAGTCCAATTTACAGGCTGGAGCAGCAGCTGCATCCTGCATTTCTCTGAAGTATTGCATGATTTTCACTCCTTGAAAAGTTTACCACCTTTGTTGCAGAGAATCGGGTAAGTTGCTCTGAATTTACAACGTCATATAGAGATCCAAGTTACTGTAAAGCTCATTCTGTGGGATAAGAGTGATCTCTTCACGTGTTTGTTGTGTCCCTTTGGTGCTCTGTGGGGAACAGTTACTGAAGCTTGCAAATGGGACAGAGGAAGCGAGCCAGCAGGCACATGCATGAAATCTTCCTATTATTCAGGGAACGCAGACTTTGTTTATTTAACTGCTGAGAAAATAATGAATTTATTCAACTCTATATAAAGGACCATAGCGCGTGTGGAATCACAGTGATATATATTCTAAGTGAGTTTCCTAAGAAAAAATATTCCATACTGGTTTACCCTTAAATGCATTGTTTATTGAATCTCTCTGTAAAAGTAATCTTCGACTAGTCTTACTTTGTTGTTTTTTTTTTTTTTCTTTTTAAGTGGGATACAGTTAATAGTTAACTTATTTTTTGCTGAACTTTTCTCAGTCAACATTTTGTCACCTAAAACTGTAACAATAACAATTGACAAATGAAACATTGAAGTTTATTTTATGTAAAAAAAAAAAAAAACCTCTTTTCTAATTTGATTTACGATGATTATGAACATGTCCCCTTTGCTCTTTTTGTTCACTTTTTATATGTTTGTTTGAATTGCGGCAAAATGTTTTACATTTGCTATTATTTTGCTATTATAGAAATAGTAAGCAAATATACCTTCTGCTCATCCTATAATCTTGTAAAACTATTATTTTGATAACATCAGTTCCACTTTAACAAGGGAATCAAATATTAAGGATATAAAATGTATGAATGTTTAAAAGTAAACTGAAATGTGATTTCATTGTTTATGACTTCTATTTTTATATACTTTTATGAGTATGTCTTCTATGTTTTTATGAATATATTTCATGATAATAAACTCGATTAGGAGTTCCTGTCACTAGTCTGTGTAATACCTTTCTTAATATAAACTCATAGTTACAATAAATACAATGACAGTTTACTTATATAAATAGTTACTTTGTTTAAGGATAAGTCTGAGCTTTTAAGGTGTGGCTTTAACATTTGAATAAAAATCTTCAGAATTTTCTCTGGATATGAAATAAAGTAGCCTTTTGGATGCCAAATAAAATTTCTAATTGGATTATCAAAGTTCTGTTATATTCTCCTAATTTTTTTGGTTATCATTTGTTTGAAATGTCCCACTTTTTTAATTGTAAAAATATATTTGGGATGTACTCCATATTTCATTTTTATAAAATATAAGCTAATAGTAGCTAAAGTCACATGTTATCTATAAATTTGGTTCCTTCTTTGATTCATTTCTTGATAAGTGTAATACATATTTATATTGTATATTATCTTCATTTCGATGGTTTCTTGCCAGCATCTGTTTACTCTTACCGAAATTAGACGGTCCCAGATGTTAAGAGAATTGTAATTGGATAGCAACCTAAGAGAAGATTTAATTTTCAAAGAAGAGTCAAGAAATCTCTAACAAATGTTCAAATTATTCACACGATGAAGTTTGTGAATGTTCTTCCTAACTGAGGACAGATACACATCTTAAGTTTCTTATATCTAATGTAGTGTCTTCTGTATGTATACATGCCTAAAGCATAGCTGAAGAATCCCTGAAAGACAGTGATGTAGTCTATTTATAAACAGACTTCCTCAATTCCCCGCTTCACTTAGTCTGCAACAAAACAAGCTTTTAAGTTTGATATAAGATATTGTTGTTCTTATTTCATCAAATACATTTAGTAGTGCTCGTTCTAGATCATATTAATATTACCTAGATGGCTCTTTCTCTAACATTTTAAGAGGGTTTATTTCCAAGTAGAAATAAATATTTATTTAATTGTAACTTTTTAAAAGATAGGGAAATTACTATATACACAGGGAAAATATTATTAATATTTGCTTGACCATCCTTTAAAAATTCTTGGCTGGCCCATTATTTTGAAAATCTGTTTGATAGTCAAGTATCCCAAATAAAAGTTCTTTATACAAATTATTTTATCGTACTCATATCTTATAGTATAACATTTCGTATTTTTTCTTAATGTCAGCTAGGCAATTGTGATAATACCTTCAAAATTGAACTAAAAATGCAAAAAAAAAAAAAAAAGATTTGTCATCTTTTTTATTTGAATATTTATTGTTTTAACAGTTTAGCATTTTCAAAAATTGCCAGTAAATTTTCTCAATTCCAAACTAAAACTCAGTTCCTCCAAAACTCAGTTACCTCAAAAACTCAATTCTTCAAAAACTGTGATTTTCTCAATTCCAAACAAAAACTCCTGTCTTTATTTCCAATATTAAATACTATTTTGATAAGCAAATTGTTCTAAGTTCAGATATACAGCTGTAATTGTGAAAATGTGCCTCATTCTTTATGATAAGCATATTATGTTCTCTCAGAATCATTTAATGAGACAGTATCCAATTGCACCAGAATTTATTGAAAGAAAAATAAGGTTTTATTGAATATATTAATCATTAATAAAAATTTTGAGATATAGACTCAATATTTTTGTTCTATTTTCATTTATTTCTCTTTTGATTGCTCAATTACATGATAAACATATTAAAATGTGTAAAATCTTTTAATGTCAAAACTACAGAGCAGCATGTTAGAATAGAGAATACCAGATTATAAAAAGGGCAAAGTGATGCTTATTTAAAAAATAAAGTACTGCAATTAAATATAAATATATTAGCCTACAATACACTAACAGTAAGTATATAAACATCTGCATATTTTTACATTAAAGTACACACCAAATGTCATATAACATTCTGCAACAATACATATGAGTTGGCATTACACTGTCATTCTTGCAGTGAATATATGTTTACAAGGATTGTTTGGATTGTTACTAATTACTTTATTTGCAAGTTGATGACTCAGATATCATTACCAAAAAATTAAAGATTTTAATTCATATCATATTGTTATATAACAAGATTTACTCAGCACAAAATACAAATATAAACATACAACAAATTTTGTATTAAATCAAATTAAGTGACTTGGGAAGATATTACAACCATTTAAATGTTATAGCAACTATTTAACATAAACAATGAAACCACATTTCATAATTACACAAAACACAAATACAGTTTTGTAATAACTATAGTACTTGCTTTGCAATAAGATTATTAAACTGTTTATATAACAAGTTTGAAAACTATCAGAGACCAAAATTTATTACAATTCGGAGTTTGCTTTCTAAAGACAAACTAATATTCAACTAAAATCAAGAAAAAAAAAACAGATGATCTTTGCATTAGACTTAGAAGAACATTGACTGAACTAGGCAAGAGGGAGAATGGATACAACCAGGGATGCTGCAATTAATTTATTAAATTGCAGCTTAGAACGAACAGTCCAATCAGCTTTGCACCTTATTCACTTTTTCTTCCTAGAGGATGTTTTCAAAAAAGAAAATAAAAAATCATACTAGCACTTTGTATTTCTCCTGGTGCTCTCCTGCGTTTATTTATGAGAAAGGGATTAGTGGTTATCAGAAAGAAAAAAGAACTGAAGCAGTAGTGCCTCTAAAACTTTGATTATGTCTGAAATGTTATTAGTGTCAGGTAATAGGAAACTTTAAGTCATTGTTATATTTTATTTATTTACTATGATTTATGATACAGTCATATAATACACAACGATGTTTCAATCAATAATGGTGGTCTTATGCAATTATAATATAGTATTTTCACTGTACCTTTTCTGTGCATGCATACACATACAGTTACCATTTTCTAACAATTGCCTACAGTATTCGGTATAGGAACATGTTGTACAGATTTGTAGCCTAGATGCAACAGCCTATACCATATAGCCTAAAAGTGTGGTAGGCTATAGCATCTAAGTTTACGTGAGTACACTTATAATATGTGCACAATGATAAAATCGCCTAACAATGCATTTCTGAGAATGTATCTCTCTCATTAAGTGGCATTTGACTGTATAACAAATTGCATTTATTATTATATAATAGTACCTAAATATCATGAATGTAGACATGCTGTTAAAAATATATTTTAATTATGTTTTATTGATCTTAGCACACATCTAATTCTACCAAACAGAATTGAAAAAATAATAATCTTGTAGCTTGATTTTTTTAAACCTTATTATTATAGCAGTCATTTTATATGTAAATATATATGCATATACATATGGATATTGTTAGAATTAGATATAGATATAGATATAGATATATCCATTAAGTATCAAGCCCTGAACCAAATGCTCCAGACTATGAATTAATCAATTCAGATATTTATTGGGATAAAAAATACTTGTAGGTCACCAGATGTCCTATGACCATTGGTGAATTAGGCTGATTTGAAATATGATATCCTAGGTCTGGGACATAGACATTAGAATGGTTATTTATTCTCTTTGTTTTGAGAAATCTAAATTAAATAAAGAAAAAAACTAATACAAATGCTTAGTGTTTGTAGGATTCGTTCATTGGTTGTGTAGGTTGGATTGCAACTTGAGAAAAAATAAAGGGAAGACTTTGTACATTAATGGATCTTTGTTATTATTATGTGAATGAGAATCAGTATTTGCAATTGACTATTTTAGTCGGGTTTCTTTCAGTTACATAAACACTTTAGTTCTTTTATGGCCAGGCGTGGTGGCTCATCCTGTAATCCCAGCTCTTTGGGAGGCTGAGGCAGGCAGATCACTTGAGGTCAGGAGTTCGAGACCAGCCTGGCCAACATGGTGAAACCCCATCTCTACTAAAATACAAAAATTAGCTGGGAGTGGTGGCACACATTTGTAATCCCGGCTACTTGGGAGACTGAAGCAGAAGAATCGCTTGAGCCCAGGAGGTGGAGGTTGCAGTGAGCTGAGATCGTATCACTGCATTCTAGCTTGGCGACAGAGTGAGACTCCATCTCAAAAAAAAAAAAAAAAAAGAGGCATTAGTTCTTTTAAAGGATATTTGCATTACATTTTGTCACAGTTCCCAAATCTGATTTTTAATTTCTTTCTTATTGAAAAGAAACTCATGTCTGCATTATGAATTTCTGATAAAACGTTGATCTCCCCAATAGTCTATGTCATCCATTAAATATTGTTTAATATTTCATAAATGTCAAGTACTTATGATTTTGTAGGTCACAAAGATTATTTTTGCTTCTGCCATGTGGCCCAATAGTTTCTAAGCTTCGATCCTCTAATTTCAGTCATTTTTTTCACTATAAAAATGCAAGTAATTCTGACTGTGCTAACACATTTAGCTTCACTAGTTGCATATACTTTAATCTGTTAACAAATTGCTATAACAAATCTTAATACATGTTGAGTAATACTGAGTATAAAATTCCTCTTAAGCCACAGTCTTCTCCCAGACATTACAATACTAGCCCCTGCTTCTCTCTATTGACATTATAAATGTTGTAGAGAGTCCCTCATGTTTATTAAATTTTAGAGAAATTACCTGGAATATATCCTCAGCCTTCACTTTTTATTTTTCCATAGCCCTTACCAGTGGTGGCATGTTTGTTAGCTTTCACAGTTTGTAGAATAATGGTGACTACCATATATTCGTTACTTAATATTCTATGAATAATTTGTTTAAATTATCTTCAGTTTATATACTAGAGGAAGATATCGTACAGAGGAAGGTATCACTTGGCAAAAGGGACCACCGAAAAGACAAAGAAAACAGAAAAGGACAATAATGACAATCTATTGATCCTAAAAATTCTTAACCTACTTAACAGTGCTGCCAAGAACCAGCCAGTCATGATATTTCAGAGAATATATGAACTTGTATTTTCTCCTCTTACCAAGGTAGAAATTATATCTGATGTAGGTAGACTACTGTTTACTGCTTTTTGGTGGAACTGTACATATAGTCAGAAGTAATATTAAATTTGACTAGGACAAACATTCGACTACCTCTTCCTTACAAAGCTTTAGCAATAAATATCCCCAAAATGAATATTTTTTATTTTCCATTCCACTATTTTTTTTCTAAATTGAAAACTAAAATATCTCTTCTTTTCATAATTTGTAGAATTACTAACTACTATATTTTAGATAATTATCATCAGTAAAGTATAATACACTATATGCAGAAGGCTTATAAAACATTATACTTACCTCTCTTTCAGAAATCAATATGCATAGCAAAGTCACAATCATATGCATCCGATTTCTCTTTTGGTTTCTTTTGCTCTGCATGCTTATTGGAAAGTCACATACTGAAGATGACATCGTAATTGCAACAAAGAATGGAAAAGTCAGAGGGATGAACTTAACAGTTCTTGGTGGCACGGTAACAGCCTTTCTTGGAATTCCCTATGCACAGCCACCTCTTGGTAGACTTCGATTCAAAAAGCCACAGTCTCTGACCAAGTGGTCTGATATTTGGAATGCCACAAAATATGCAAATTCTTGCTATCAGAACATAGATCAAAGTTTTCCAGGCTTCCATGGATCAGAGATGTGGAACCCAAACACTGACCTCAGTGAAGACTGTTTATATCTAAATGTATGGATTCCGGCACCTAAACCAAAAAATGCTACTGTAATGATATGGATTTATGGTGGTGGTTTTCAGAGTGGAACATCATCTTTACATGTTTATGATGGCAAGTTTCTGGCTCGAGTTGAAAGAGTTATTGTAGTGTCAATGAACTATAGGGTGGGTGCCCTTGGATTCTTAGCTTTGCCAGGAAATCCTGAGGCTCCAGGGAACATGGGTTTATTTGATCAACAGTTGGCTCTTCAGTGGGTTCAAAAAAATATAGCAGCCTTTGGTGGAAATCCTAAAAGTGTAACTCTCTTTGGAGAAAGTGCAGGAGCAGCTTCAGTTAGCCTGCATTTGCTTTCTCCTGGAAGCCATTCATTGTTCACCAGAGCCATTCTACAAAGTGGATCCTCTAATGCTCCTTGGGCAGTAACATCTCTTTATGAAGCTAGGAACAGAACATTGACCTTGGCTAAATTGACTGGTTGCTCTAGAGATAATGAGACTGAAATAGTCAAGTGCCTTAGAAATAAAGATCCCCACGAAATTCTTCTGAATGAAGCATTTGTTGTCCCCTACGGGACTCTCTTGTCAGTAAACTTCGGTCCAACCATGGATGGTGATTTTCTCACTGACATGCCAGACATATTACTTGAACTTGGACAATTTAAAAAAACCCAGATCTTGGTGGGTGTTAATAAAGATGAAGGGACAGCTTTTTTAGTCTATGGTGCTCCTGGCTTCAGCAAAGATAACGATAGTATCATAACTAGAAACGAATTTCAGGAAGGTTTAAAAATATTTTTTCCAGGCGTGAGTGAGTTTGGAAAGGAATCCATCCTTTTTCATTACACAGACTGGGTAGATGATCAGAGACCTGAAAACTACCGTGAGGCGTTGGATGATGTTGTTGGGGATTATAATATCATATGCCCTGCCTTGGAGTTCACCAAGAAGTTCTCAGAATGGGGAAATAATGCCTTTTTCTACTATTTTGAACACCGATCCTCCAAACTTCCGTGGCCAGAATGGATGGGAGTGATGCATGGCTATGAAATTGAATTTGTCTTTGGTTTACCTCTGGAAAGAAGAGTTAATTACACAAAAGCTGAGGAAATTTTGAGTAGATCCATAGTGAAACGGTGGGCAAATTTTGCAAAATATGGGTAAGTGCTGATTTTTGTCGTTGTTCTCTGACTTGGTTTGATCTGTTTTGCTTAGTTTTGCTTGGTCTCTGGGGAAAACTTATTATAAAGACACAGAAATGTTTTAATTATTTATTCTATTTGTACCAAAGCTGGTTTTATTTTTTCTTATGAAGTGCATTTCAACTCCCTGTGTCAGAGTGTTTAAAAGAAATCATCATCATAGAAATTTTATTTAAAAAATCTTCCGATTTTATCTCCAGAATATTTCAAAGCATTTCAACAATGTTAGCCAAAGTTTGTATAGAAAAAGATGCTTAGTTGGAGAACTAAAATTAATGTGAGAATACTTTTTAACCTGCAATTTTACAAAGTTCACAGATTGAGGTCAGAGTAGGACTATTTCTTTCCAAGTTCTTCAGCTTGGTACCATGATACCTGATACATGAAGTAATACATCTCTGCTTAGGAAATTGAAGGAACATGGTGGTGATGCAATTGGCCCTCAGATTACCCAAAATACACAACATTTGCCATTGTATTGTTTGGTTTTTATTTTTTTCCTAATAGACCTGTTCAGATTTGAGGCAGCCTGTGTTTCACTGGGGCCATGAGGGTTTAGCTAAGCTGTTCTCCACCTGAGCAGTCTTATGGCTGATATTAGATAATCAGAGACATTACAAATAACATATTTCCCCCACATATTATAAATACTGTGATATTATGTCCTCAAGAGTCAGAAGAAAATAACCATTTAGAATATATTTTTTAAATGCATGCATGTATCTATAGAAAATATTTTTTTTTCCTTCCACCACATTTGTAAACCAAAACCACATTTTATACATGGGAGTAAATTGTACCAATGTGAATAATTTTTTAAAAATAGAAATTTAGAAATTTATTTATACAAGAAGTGTTTACATAAATCATAAATTGATTGATGCAGTAATTCAGTCTTTCACACTATCTTTTATAACTAAACAAAACGCTGATAGTTACATTACTGCTCTCTGGTGTTCTTTTCCACCCTCCATTTGGAATTCTTTGTACTTCATGTCACTGTATGTATATTTCTACAATATCAATTGTATAATTCTTTTCAAATTGTTTAATACTTATTCACTGTGGAAAAGTTATAATTCTTCCACCCAGCATTGAAAGGCCTCTATTATCTTGCTGCAACTCACATTACTCAGTAACACCAGGTTCTGGGTGAGCCAGTTATCTCACTAATACCAAAGATTCTCAGCTTAACTGCACCTTAGAACTTTCTTCTAGCAATATGCCCTGTTTAAAACACCTCTTTCCTCTTTAATGACAAAGTGCTACATTTTTGAAGTCTTAATCTACTACACATCTCATGCAGCATTTCTTTAATTACTAGAGGTGCAGTTGCTTCAGACCTATTGTTCACTCTCACAGAAGTTGACTGTAACTGGTCTATTTCCTCTTTCATTGTAAGCTGTTCCTCCTCAACTATACTAAACTACCCTCTTGAAACAGAATCTGTGGTTTTGATTTGATATTCATTGAATTACTATGATGGGTATCTATCATACTTAACAAATATTTGGCTAATGATTGAATGAGAGCTGGTAAAAGGTAGTATGAGTAAAAAATATTATATTGCCTTTTCAAGATACGTGGGTTATTATATTACCTGTGGCTGTAAAATATTTTATTCTTTGTCAACATCGGCATAAATTTCTGCTCAAGGAATGAAGCATCAGCTTATTTTTAGAGCTATATTAGAATTACTTATATCTCATTCTGCTCTCTCCCTCGAGGCTTTATCCATATTACATTATTTATATATGTTTTTATTTCTTTCTTTAAATCCTAAGGACTGTAAATAATTTAAGGATTTAAGGATAATTTTTTAAATTATTGAAACCTAAATTTTTCAAAAGACTTCATTTCTTTTGCATGTTGCAATAATTAAAGAATTTACATTTTCTTGTTTCACAATGGAGAACACAAAGAATCAGATGTGTTAAATGCCTTGTTTTTGGCACCCATATAACAGACCAAAAAAGAAAATCTTTGACAATAGGATTAATTATTTAATAATTATTTAATTATTTATTAATTATTTAATAAGGTTATTTAATATTAGCCTTATAATGGGAAATAAAAATTAACATTTTAATAATAATAAATATATGTAATGGAGCTCATAAGCTATAAAAAGTTAAACTGTAAAGTAGTGTAGCAATAACAAGATGTTATTTTAGTAATTTTATTCACAGACGATATTTGCACAGTTGAACAGAGATAATAACACTATATATTCGTGTTAAGGGTTGATTTGATGTCAAGCATAATGTTAATATCCTGATGTTCATTATCTATTTTCAAAGTATACATGTGAATTAATATAGAAGCTTTGAATAATTAAGTGAACTGCAGTGAAAACAAAGTTGACAACTGTTAAGTCTAGAAATCTATCCACATCTTTCTGACTACAGACTTGATGTCCCAAATCTGTAATTTCCAAGGTCAAAGACTTTCCTCCTAGGACCCTTTCTTTCTACCCCCCAGGAACATTTAACAATGTCTGGAGCCCTTTTTGAGTGTCACTATTGGGGGAACAGATGAAGGCCCAGCATGCTGCTAAACACCCTGTAATGCACAGGGCAGCACTCCACAGTGATATAATTATTCTTTCCAAAATGTAAATAATGCCAAGATTGAGAAACTCTGCTAGTCTCTACTTCCTCAGAACTTCAAAATGTCTTATGAAGAAAGTAAAAGTAGAATTGGAGCTATGATTATCATTTAGGAAAATGAGTTTTCAAGTTCATGATTCATGAAATGTTTTGATAAATTCTTCTTAATTAGTAAATCTATGTGTATTATTTATAATCTTCATTGAAATATAATGTACATACTATAAAAAATATACATAATAAACATACAGATCAGTAAGTTTTGCCAATATGTACTACTCCATAAAGATAAAGCATGATTCCATTGCCTCAGAATAAAGTCCCCCCACCTCTTTGCAAACAGTCCTCTTACTCCCCATGTCCAGTCAATCACTGATTCTATTTTTATTATAGATTAGTTTTACCTTTTCTGGAATTTTATATTCATATCATAGCTTATATAATCTTGTGTCTGGCTTCTTTTGCTCAGCATAACAGAGCCGCAATTCATCTGTGTTGTATGTGTAAGGAGTTTATTTGTTATTCACTGCTAAGTACTATTTCCTGTGGATGATTGTACAACTGCTTGTTTATCCATTCACCCATGCGTTGTTTCTTTTTGGGGGTATTATGACTAGCGTTCTATGAATATTTTTCTGGAAGACTTTTGTCTTGTACAAAATCTGTAGAAGATTTTTTTTTCTCTTATTTTGAGTAAAAGTGAGAGGAATTGCAGGAACATATATAAGCACATGCTTATTTTTTTAAAGAAATTGTTCAACCATTTTCCTTAGTTGAGAACTTTATACTCCCAAAAGCAATGACGTACCAGAGCCCCACTTGTTTCACATCTTCAGCATCACTCGCAACTAATCAATCTTCAATTTTAGCTGTTCTTCTGGCTTTGTAATGACATCTCTTTGTGCTTTTACTTTGTTTCTCTCTGATGGATATAGATGTGGAACATCTTTTCTTATGCTAACTGGTCACTGGTATTTTTTCTATTTTGAAATGTTTAAATCTTTTGCAATTTTTTACTGGGTTTATCTCTCATTGACTTGTAAGAATTCTTATATATTTAAGATACATATCCTATGTACTTTCAGTATTTTTCCCCAATTTTTATCTTACTTTGATTTTTGATATGTTGAATTTCAGTGAATCTCAGTTTATTAATTTATTTCCATCTTATCAAATAAGTATTTCCCTACACCAACATTTGTAAAGACTGTTTGTTTTTCTGGTTTTTTTTTTTTTTTTTTTTGCTTTATGGTTTTAGATTTTTACTTTTGATTCATAATATATTTAAATTCATACCTGTGAACTTTTAATGTAGGGGTTGAGGTTCATTATTTCCCATATAAATATTCAGATATTACATCACTATTCATTAGAAAAGACACTTCTTTACTTACTAAATTACCTAGGCTACTTTCTTGAAAATCAACTGACCATATATGTGTGGATATGAATGAGTACATTTTATTCTGTCACACTAAATGGTCTAATGTCTATTTTTATGCCAGTACTGGAGTGTCTTATATAGTATGTCTACACAGTATTTTTTTAATTGAAGAGTTTAAAGGAGTACATTTTGTTTTCACAAACAAAACTTTTGATTTGAAAAAAAAAACAACACTTATGTCTATTTTAGTTTTGCATTTCCAAATAAAGATTAGAATCAGTTTCTCAGTTTTCACAAAAGCTGATGAGGTGTTGAAATTATTGATTAATATACAGAGAATGTTTATATTAACATTACTGCTTTTTAAATCCATGAATATGGTTTACCTTTCCTTTTATTTTGTTATGTTTTTAGTTTCTATAAATATTTAAAAGTTTTATATGTACAGTCCTTGAATATATTTAACTAAATTTATCCCTAAGAGTTTTATGTATTCTAAAATTTAGATTTTGCTAGTATCTAACTATACACTTGATTTTCTATGTCATGCTACCTTGCTAATTTCATGTATAAAGTTTAGTAGATTTATTAATATTTTTAATTTGGGGGTTAAATAAGCTATTTTCTGTGAATGGTTGTGGACAGTCGGCTTCTTCCTTTTCAATATTTATATCTGTTGTTTTCTTGTTGATGATTTTGTCATTGCATTCTCTAGGATTGTTAGCACAATATTAAATAATAGATGTGAAAGCATATAGTTTCAAATCTTAGAGGGAATGAGTTCATCTTTTTAGTATTGTCTGTATTAACTATAGTTTTGCTCTATATTAAATTTAGGAAATTCTCCTCTGTTCCTATTTCTTGAGAGTCCTTATTATAAATAGATATTAAATTGTGACAAATGCTCTTTCTGCTTCTATTGAAAGGACCATCGTGTTTTTGTTGCTTTGTTTTCTCATTAATTT